CCGTGAAGCCGACGATAACGCTGCCGCCTCGTTGCACCTTGCCACGCACTTGCGCGTAATTATGATTAAGGGGCCGCTCCTCCTCCGAACTGCCGCCTGTGGGACACTCTCGTTTCAATTATCTGAATTTATGCAGCATTTTGGAAGCTTTCGCAAGCCTTTCGCGAGTTCTTAAGGATAGAATGATTCTAATCCTTCGACAATTAATGTGTTTCTTTAGATAAATAAACTGGAAGCCTTTCACGAGTTCTTAAGCTCAGAATGATTCTAATCCTTTCGACAATTAATATATTTCTTTAGATAAATAAACTGGAAGTCTTTCACGAGTTGTTGAAACTTAGGATACTAATCCTTTAAATAATGAATTATTATGGTTCTCAGATAAATAAATTGGAAGCTTTCGAAAGTCTTTCACGAGTTCTTAGCTTAGAATTATACTAATCCTCTCAACAATGAATTATTGTTTCTCAGGTAAACAAATCGGAAATTTTCAGAAGTTTCCCACGAGTTCTCAAAACTGACAATGGTACTAATCCTTCCAACAATGAATTATCGATTTGAATTCATCATATTGATGAATTTATGTTGATACTTGAGTCTTTTAATTATTCAAACAACAAAAGATCGGTATATGGATCTTTTATCTAATTCGTCTAGTCACACAAATTTTCCGGAAGTCCTAGAAATCTGTGTGACTAGACGAATTAGATAAAAGATCCATATACCGATCTTTTGTTGTTTGAATATTTAAAGGAATTAAAAGACAATTTTCCGGAAGTCCTAGAAATCGTCGATTACAAAGGGACAGCTACGAAAACTGTCACGAGACCCAAATCTCTTTTTTCCACCGAGGTTCCCTTCGGATAAATGTGGCGATATTATTCGATAAAGTAGCTCGAGGAGTTAAGAACGATAAGCTCTTCCGACCGGTCACTCGGCGCGGAGTTCTTTCGAGAAGAAGAAGAAGAGGGTCGCTTCCGGAATGAACCAAGTTTTAAAGTGCATCGCGAAATTGTGTATTGCAGTCGCGAGTTCGCGAAGCGATTTCGACGATTTAACTTGGGAGAGCCCTTTCGGTTCTGCTGAGGCCGCGATCGAATGTATTATTTTGGAAAAATAATAGATTCGACACTTGGACAATGTCTTCCTTCGAGAAAGTAATAATACAGATGCTTAGAAAATATTTTTCTTAGAGTAAACAATAATATACAAACACTTGGAAAATATCTGCTTCCGTAAAAGTAATGATACAAACTGGAAAATATTTTTCTGAGAGAGAATAATAATACAAAGTGCTTGAAAAATATTTTTCTCTGACAAAATAGTACTGTATACTTAGAAAATATTTGTCTGAGAAAGAATAATAATTCAAAATACTTGAAAAGTTATTTTCTTAGAGTAAATGATAATACAAATTTGGAAGATATTTTTCTGAGAGAGAATAATAATACAAAGTACTTGAAAAATATTTTTCTCAGAAAAAATAGTACTGTATACTTAGAAAATATTTTTCTGAGAAAGAATAATAACAAAATACTGGAAAAGTCATTTTCCTAGAGTAAATGATAATACAAACACTTGGAAGATATTTTCCTGTGAAAAAATAGTAATACAACGTGCTTGAAAAATATTTTTCTTGGAAAATCTCTTCCTCAGATAAAAGTAATAGTAGAAAACGCTTAGAAAATATTTTCTGGAGAAAATAATAACGGAAACACTTGAGAAACTACTTTCCTATATTTTTCATGAAAGTCTCGATTCTGATTGGCTTCCGTTACGATCCCACACGCAAACACGAGTTAACAATGTATCCTTCCACTCGATATTTCCCTTTCAGAACGTCCCCGGTATTTTCCATATTAAAATATCCCAGTGGAATAGAATATACAAAGTGTGCCACATTATTTAAAAACTCGAATTCCACTGTTTCAAATGGAACCAAAAGACCTTGTCCCCGTGGTCGGATCAAACAGCGGAATTCACGTTTCAATAATTCCCGAAGATAGAACCGTGCTCGGATAAAATATCCATCGAAATCGTGGACACGCATTTTTATTATTCGAAAGGGAAACTGAGAGATCATGAAGTCTATACGAAGCACAAAGATTTCGAATGATTTGCGAGCCGAGGGTGAACGAACGTAGAACAATGTTCGAAGCGCGGAAGACACGTCATTAACACTGAAACTACCAAGCAGTTAATAGACCCTTTGAAAAGAAAATTGACAAATTCGTGTTTCGAATTCAGTAGCGAACGAACGATTTAATTAGTGAAACAGCGATAGATGCTTCATTATTTAACAATCTATTATCCAGAATCACTGGTTCCGATTCTCTCGTAATCATCGATACCTTAACACTACAACCGAGCACTTAAACCATCTTTTGAAAATTTCTTTGTAAAATCATGAATATATTAAGGTTTCAATCGATTTATATTTCAGTTTAGGCATGACTAAATCAATCTCAAAATTATATTTCAATTTAGGCATGACTAAACTGGTCATTTTGAAGCGGCTGGTAGTTCTAGTGTTGAAATCATCGACTATTCGATGTTTGAATGTGGTACATGTTAATTTTTCTAACAAAATATTTTTAAGGGACACAAAAATAGCTGTATACGTTACAAAGCACCGAAAACATCAAGAAACGATATCAAAATATATAAAATTAAAAAGAAACTTGAATATAACTTAATATTTTATTGAAAAAATCAATACAGTTCATAAGCAAAATATGACTGAAATTTCCGTGGTATTCAACGTGTCAACCAAGAACTTGTGAACGCCGCTGTACACGTATAATCGCCGGACACTAACGAACCGACGCAGGAAGCTGCAAAAACCGTTGCGAAGGCAATCCCTCAAGCCCCGTTCGACGGGAGTCTTTAAAAAAATCGGGATTCACGTGAAATTATGTGCATCATCAATTTCTATCCCGTTTCCCCGGGTCCTCCGGCCATCTCTCAGCGGAGAGTTACAGCGCCGGAAAGGAAACCGAGAAAACCGTAACGCGGGGGAGGCCGGACGACGCTTTATTATACCACCGTTCGTTTCTTACGGTGTCCCGCAAGAATCGTAAAAGAAGCCGCGCCGGAGAAATATTACGGCCGCGATTCCGCGCCCGCGGAGGCCGGACTTTCCTTTCTCCGCTCGCGCGCGCTCGCCGATACACGCCGATGATCTTTGCCGCTCGTAAATTAGATCCAACCAGCTTTTCCTTTCCTCGTCGAGATTCCCTGCGATCCCTTCCTGGGATTTTTGGAAGATGCTTTTCACCCCTTGGATGCTATGGGTAATAATAATGAAGAATGCGATTTTTGCAGAATACGCAAAATGAAGAATATAGTGTCGAATAGAATTAGAATATAGAATTGAATGATTATTTGCAAACATTTTTATGTTATACACGATGATACCTAATGCTCTGATAGTTGGAAACAGTGCAATAACGAAACGAATCAATAAAATAATTTGATAGAATGTATAGAAAATAGAATGTATCAAATTATTTTATTGAATCGTTTCATTATTGTATAGAATATATAGAAAATAGAATGTATCAAACTATTTTATTGAATCGTTTCACTATTATCGCATGGTTACCTTGCAAAATATCAGAGCATTAGCTAGCATTGTTCATAACATAAAAATGTTAGCAAACAATCATTCAATTCAGTGAACCATAATTATTCTATGTAGCTGTGAGTCACTGATCCCGTGGCATTCGTGTTAAACGGTACTATAATTGTTCTTAATTACAGAATTATTTAATGTCTTCGTTACTACTGTTTGTTACTTTACATCTTCCGGCATCAATATTTATCGTCCTTATAATATTCCAAGAATTACCATTCATCGTTCCAAGGTTTCATTACCATTTACTGAAATTACCATTATCGAAATACATATCACCTGTTACTAATCGTCTATTTATACGAAAACAAACTCTCCCACGCGTCGCGTAGATACGATATTTCACAGACAACGGGAATCTCGCCGAGACAATAAACATTTCTCACCGGTTGTTATTATTGGGGAATAAAGGAAAATACTCCGGTCCTCGGGAGTCGAAGGAACGAAGACGGACGGAGGAAAAGCCGCGAATAATATACCGATAAATTTGCATGCCGCCGTAAATCCGAACCGTTGCGTATCCTAATGGTCCCGGCGCGGTTCCCGGCGGCCCGCGGAATGGACACCGTGGAAACAGCACGGCCGGACCATCTTTGTCACGTTTGCCGCGGCCAGGACGGATCTCTCCCATCGATTTCCCATACCGTTCCGCGGGCCGACTCGCGCCCGATCATTTCTCGCATGCATTTCCGCCGAGATTTCGATATTCCTCGAGCTTTGTGTTTCTTTACGACCGCAGCAGTGGGACGCTTTACTGCCGCGGTTCGTCGTTCGACGGTGGAAAACGGAATTGGTACTGTTTCTAGAATAATTCGGCTGGTTTTCTGTATGGAAATTCATCCGCGGAGCGTAATGTTAACGTTCACGTGGCTCTTTGGTACTTGAAAGAGGCCTGAAGATGAGATTCTGGGATATTTTGGGACTTAGAAGTTATTCTTTGTGAAATGCGAGGAATTTTGAGAGGTTTCGTTAGCTTTTTAAGCGTTATTGTTCTAATGACACTTGAAGGATATATGAAGACGAGATTCTGGGATATTTTAGGACTTAGAAGTTATTCTTTGTGAAATGCGAGGAATTTTGAGAGTTTTTGTTAGATTATTGAGCGTTATTGTTCTAATGGCACTTAAATGGAATCTAAAGAGAAGATTCTGGGACCTTTGGGACTTAGTGACTTAACTGCGACCTTCTGAGTCTTAGAAATTATTCTGTGTGAACTGCAAAGAATTTTGAAAATTTTAATTAGCTTATTAAGCGTCATTCTTCTAATAGATAAGTAGTGTTAGTACAAGTGTAATTTCAAAGAAGCTGAATTTCGTGCTCATTCGCGTCCCATTTAATTAATTTGCATTCGTTTATTCTGTTGCAGGTATTGGGAGAGTCGTAGAGGTACAACGAACCGGAAGTGCAGTGATAGTTTCCGTTAGAACGCGAAAATCCGAGTGAAACCGTTCGATGATCCTTCGCCGGTCCGTTATCTCGCGCTAACCGCCGTCGCCGGTTTTGTTCTCGTCAGCCGCCCGCCTTTTCGCTGATGAATCCTTCGCATAATTAAACGGACACGATCTTCGGTGGCTCGTTTAATTAACGACAATTAACGGGAGGAGCAATTACGAGGAGCGAGGGATGACGAGCAGGAACCGGAAGCCGCCATCCGAAGCCTCCTTAAAGCAGCCTGACAGGTGAGCATCTAATTTTTCCTGATTCTCGCTCCAACGAGCGCACCAATTAAATCGTGGCGACCGGGACGCCTCTAATTCGAACCTCCTCGTAAGAATCTCGGCGATCATTCACATCCGTGCACTGTTTCACATGAGATTCAATGATTCTTCGATACAACGAGCTTCAATTTGCCTACACTCAAATGTAATCATGCAACGATACATTTCGTGTCATCAAATTGAGCAGATTAAACAAACTGGAAATTTTCAAAATTGTATAAATTGTAATTAGTCAATTGTCGAACCGGGAATCTTCGATAACTTAAGCTGTTGACGAGTATACTCGCCCAAAAACTAAATGACACGTTCACCAGCGCTTATTTCGCTGAGAAAAATGAAACTGAAACGAGTCATTGAGTTCCTAAATATAACGCCGTACCTTATCATTTTTAATAATAATGTCTATCGGATTAATTTCATTTTCATTGTATCAAATATAGAATTACGGCCACAAATTTCGATCCGTCTCATGTCCGAAACAATTTCACAAGAAATCGAGCAAAACCTTGAACTCAAACGCACATTCTGATTGTTAGCACACCCGAACGCACAAACCACAATAAAGTTCACTATTCCTAAATTTCAAACAATTCCAAAGGTTCCTGTCGTATAGCGATAATAATAGTAATAATAATAATAATCAAACGACGGACAGCGCGCCGAAAATTCTTCCGAAACGCTCGGGGACGCGTTGAAAAACGAGGAGGCGCGAGTAGGCGTGCGAGCGTTGTAAATTTCCGTCGAATTCCGCGTCCTCCGCCGCGGAAGCGAATTTTCGCGCGGAATTTCAGCTCGCGCGGCCGGCAATAAACCTCTGGAGCGGCGTCGCCGCGCGGACACATCCCCGAAACGCATCCCGGCGGC